AGAGTCCCTTTTTCCAAGGCTATCTGGCTGAGCAAAGGGACTGGGGGAAAGAGGCAGGCAGGGATATCAATTTCTTTTGTATGTTTTAGTCAACTATTTTAGTGATTTATGCTCATTGGCCGCTTTTCAATGGTGATGTCTCTTTACGGTCACCATATTTTCTGGGAAAACGGACAAATCTGAAAAAAGGGTTCATGAGGATAAAGAAAAATGGTGAATGTTTATTACTTTGTTTTACGAAGGAGCATTTTAGAACAAAACTTTATAAAAACGCCTATTCTAATAATACTTCTTTGTCTTCTATTTATTGATAGTTGTTGGTGAAAATAGGAAGACAAAGGAATATTCGAAATATTTCTAGCAGAATTACCCAATTGTGTAATAGCTTTGTTCCCTATGCCATCCGTCTGGTAAACTCGCAAGATTCGTTTTTCTCGCCATGCACATGTATACATAACCCAAACTAGACTGTGTTGTTTCTCTGTGTCATATAATATATGTGGGTATATGCATAATTCTGTATTTATTTATGTCATATTTATGTAGTGTATATTGAAGATGGTGATCCTTTGAGAGCTGTATGCAATGAAATTTCGTTTTAATGTATGCCGATCAGTGTAAATTCAAAGTGACAATAAAGTTATTATTCTATTCTGTTCTGTTCTATTCTAATATTAGGTATGTTTGCCACCTTGAATTATTTGTAAAAATAATAAAGATAGGATGCAAATAAATAAAATCTAAAATCAAACAAGTATGGGTAAAATTATTTTAAACACACAATTCAGTGTCCAGATTGTGAAAGGCTATGTATAACTTGGCACCATTCATATGGAAAGCTTAAAGGACCAAAAGAAATCCAAAAAACAGCTTTGTGAAATAAAGGATTGCCCTTTATAATACAGCACAGGAGTGCATTTTATTTCTTTAACTAGGTAATCTGATATTGTTCATGGAAAACCACAAGTCAAGCCCTATGTCAGTGATGGCGAACCTTTTAGAGACCGAGTGCCCAAACTGCAACCCAAAACCCACTTATTTATCACCGGGTGCCGGGTGGGCGTGGCCCACTGGGTGGGTGTGGCTGTGGTGATCATGGCAGGCCAAGGTGGGCATGGTCACCTCGATGTTGCTCATGGGGAGGGATGCCTATGGGGGCCGGGCAGGGTTAGGGGAGATCCAGGGGGTCTCTGGCAGGTGTGGCGGTGGGCAGGAGGCTCGTCCTGTGGAGTGAGGCGAGGCAGGGCAGGGGCCGGGGCAGCTGCTACCTGACACCATCAGCCTCTGCACACCGAGGCCAGCGAGCGCATAAGGGGCCGACGGTGTCCGTCAGCAGCCACAGCCTGCCGGCCCCTCGACCGGTGCATGCTGGGGGTCCCACAGCCCGCCACCAGCAGTTCAGAGAAGCCGCTTCTGAGCTGGACGGCCAGCCAAGAGCTGAGGAGGCGATGTAGTGGGTTGTGCCTGGGAAAAAGGGAGCATGCGAGGCCAGGAGGGATGGGAAGGGGGGGAGGGAAACCAGCCCCGCCGGGATGCATCCGACCACATGGGACCTCGGTGAGTTAGTGGGCGGCTGGTTGAAGAGGGACGGTTGCCATCTCCAGGGCATGGCGCATGTGCCCACAGAGAGGGCTCTGAGTGCCGCCTCTGGCACGCGTGCCATAGGTTCGCCACCACTGCCCTATGTCATATCTATATAAATAAAAATGAAAATGTTTGTTTGTTCAAAATCTTAAATCTCTGAAAGTTCTTCACCGATTGCTTTGAAATTTTGACACAACGTTGCATTCAAATACGTGCGTGTTTTTATATACCTACTATTATATAGATGTCACACCTGTGACAGGTAAAAACATGCTTTTTTTGAAAAACAGCACCATCTGTTGGACGTAAAAGCAACACACGCTAACCAGACTGAGCCACAGCAACGCGTGGCCGAGTACAGCTAGTATATATGTATGTACGTATGTATGTATGTATGTATGTATTATCTGTTGGGTGAGGCACCCGGTCTACCAAATATAAATCAGTCTGTTCTGCGTTTCACTCCAATGTAGGAGCATGTTTTGCAGGCAGACCTCACATACTGTGAACACTATAAATTCAAAATTTTGTGGCTCTTTGTCAGCCACAAAATTTTGAATATGTATGTATGTATGTATGTATGTATGTATGTATGTGAATATGATATATATATATATGTGTGTGTGTGTGTGTGTGTGTGTGTGTGATAGATATAGAGATATAGGTAGGTAGGTAGGTAGATAGACAGACAGACAGATAGATAGTCTGTATCTGTGAAGTAACCACTATCTTTTCATTATCATATAACAAAAATATACAATGCCATCAAAAGACTAAAAGAATTGAAATGGAAATGGGCTGGTCATAGAGTAAGAAGAACGGATGGCAGGTGGACCAAAGCAGTCATAGAATGGATCCCGCTTGATAAAATGTGTCCACAAGAGAGACCTAAAACAAGATGGATGGACGACATCAGAAAGTATTGCGGGACGAACTGGCAAAGGAAAGCTCAACACCATATTGATTGGACACAGGCAGAAGAGGCCTTCATCCTTCAGTGGATAGACAATGGCTAGAACAATGGTGATGAACCACCATCTGTGTCCATTAACAACTTTTTTGTAAGCATGGAAGTTCCCTCAGAGAAAGTGGGATTTGCTCTATATCAGCATTTCTCAACCTGGGCAGTTTGGAGGTGTCTGGACTTCAACTCCCAGAATTCCCCAGCCAGCCACACATCTTCAAGCTGCCAAGGTTGAGAACCGCTGTTCTACAGATTTTCAGCCTAACCAGGATACTTATTATCAAGTATGACATCAATAACATCAATATATGGGAATAACCAATAGCTAACATCAGTATCTGGGAAGATACTGGAAAAAATAATCAAAAAACAGATCTGTCGACATTTAGAAAGAAATAAAGTTATAACTAACAGCCAGCACAGATTTGTTAAAAACAGATCATGCCAAACCAATCTTATTTCATTCTTTGACAAAGAACCACAAGGTTCTGTCTTAAGCCCAATAATCTTCAATATCTTCATAAATGACATAGATGAGGGAAAAGAAGGGGAACTCATCAAATTTGTAGATGACACTAAGCTGGCAGAAATAACCAACATCCCAGAAGACAAGCTCAGAATCCAAAAAGATTCTTGAACAGTGGCCCCTATCCAACAACATGAATTTTAATGTGGAGAAAAGCAAGGTTTTACACCTAAGCAGGAAAAACCAAAGGTACAAGTACAGATTAGGTGAAACCTGGCTCAAAAACAGTAACTGTGAGAGGGACTTTGAAGTCCTAGTGAACGATCATTTAAACATGAGCCAACAGCATGCGACAGCTAATACAATCCTTGGTTGAATGAATAGAGCAGGGGTCCTCAACCTTGGCAACTTTAAGACTTGTGGACTTCAACTCCCAGAATTCCTCAGCCAGCAAAGCTATACAAAGCAAGCTGGCTGAGGAATTCTGGGAGTTGAAGTCCACAAGTTTTAAAGTTGCCAAGGTTGAGAACCCCTGGGAGAGGCACAGAATCAAAATCACATGAAGTGTTAGTACCACTTTATAAAACCTTAGTAAGACCACACCTGGAATACTGCATCCAGTTTTTGTCACATTACAAAAAAGGTGTTGAGACTTTGGGAAAAGTGCAAAGAAGAGCAACTAAGATGTTTAAAGGCCTGGAGGCAAAAGCATATGAAAAATGGTTGCAGGAGCTGGGTATGGCCAGTCTAGAGAAAAGAAGGACTAGGGGTGATATGAGACCAATAGTCTAGTATTTGAGGCGCTACCACAAACAAGAGGGGGTCAAATTATTTTCCAAAGTACCAGAAGGAAGGACAAGAAACAATGGATGGAAACTAATCAAGGAGAGAAGCAACCTGGAATTAAGAAGAAACTTCCTAATAGTGAGAACAATTAACCAGTGGAACAGCTTGCCTTCAGAAGCTGTCAGTACTTCATCACTGGAGGTTTTTAAGAAAAGACTGGACAATCACCTGTGAAATGGTATAGGGTCTCCCACTTGAGTAGGGGGTTGGACTCCAAGGCCCCTTTCAGCTTTATTCTGATTTTTGTATGGACTCGGGCACACATATTGGCCCGCTTCACAGATTCGGGGAGTGGTTGATCCGCTTCCTTCCACTTCATTCAAACAGGATGTCTGAGTTAAGATTCTCAGATCCGGGCTGCAAACATCTGGAGTGCCACTAGCGTTCATCCATATGTTCACAGGCCAAGTAGAATCATAGAATCACAGAGTTGGAAGGGACCTGGGAGGTCTTCTAGTCCAACCCCCTGCTCAAGCAGGAGACACTTACAGAATAACAGAATAAAAAAATTGGAAGGGACCCTGGAGGCCATTTAGTCCAATTCTTGCTCAAGCAGGAGACCCTTACAGAATCACAGAATAACAGAGCTGGAAGGGATCTTGGAGGTCTTCTAGTCCAGAGGTCCCCAACCTTTTGGGCACAAGGGACCCTGTGGAGAGAGGTTTTTCCACGTGGTTTTGTGTGTTCCCTGCATCTCGCGGATGGGGCTTTACTTGTTTATGCGCCCCAATTGCTGGCATGCTGCGGCCTGGTACTGGTCCACGGACCGGGGGTTGGGGACCCTGTTCTAGTCCAACCCCCTGCTCAGGCAGGAAATCCTATATATCATTTCAGACAAACTGAGTGTCCAATCTCTTCTTAAAAACTTCCGGTGTTGGAGCATCCACAACTTTTGGAGGCAAGTTGTCTATTTCTGCAGACAAAGCTTTTCCACCCCAAGGACAAAACACTCAGACAAAGTCTGCAGCCCTAAACCTCTGTGTGGTCGGCGTGCCGAGCACACAGCTGAGATCGGCGCCGCTTTTGATTTTCTGCTCCCTGGTGGATCCAGCTGCTTCTCCCCCTCCTTTACGTTCCCTACTTTAAGACCCTCCTCCCCGCCCCACCCCCTTTCCAGCCCGTCCGTCCAGGCCCCTGGCGCTTCCCGACCGTCCAGGCATCATGTCCCGCTCGGAGGAGGTGAACCGGCTGACCGAAAACGTCTATCGGGTGAGCCGCACTTCGTACACTTTTGCTACAGGTTCTTCTCCAAAACTTCTTTCGGTCTTCGTTTCCCTCCCGTCTTTCCTTCTTCTTTTTCTTCTTCTTCTTCTTCTTCCCCATGTCCCTGGATTTCGTTCCGTGACTCCCTCCGTCTTTCTCTTCTCCTGTTTAATTCCACCTCCGCAATTTGGCTGGTCCCTCGATCGATCTCTCCCTGCCTCGCCCCGTCCCCCCTTCCCTTACCTCCTTCCCGCCTCCCGGCATACCGTGTACACCCTTCCTGCTCCCCAGACTCAATTCGTTATCCGAGTTTCTCTTCCCTCCCTTCCGCCTTGGTTCTGCGCTGGATCATACATTTTGGCTTTTCTGGACGGTCTTAGCAGCCTTTTGTTCGCCTCCTAAAAACCGGGGGGTGGGTGGGGGTAGAAGCAGCAGGAGGTGCGTGGAAAGAGAGGAGTAAGGAATTGGGACATAATGTTCCAGGAAGCCCCCTAGCTCCGCTGCGCCGCCCCCCCCCACCCCCCGTACCATCTTTGGGATGCAGAGAAAATGCCAGACTTCAAGGCAAAATTAATACCAGGAGCTAGTAAGTTTTCCTTTTCTTCCTGTGAACAATCCGCTGCCTAATTACTAAAACCAAAGAGAAAACTTGCCAGAGACGGGAGGCGGAAAAAAAACAACAACCCCGTTTGATTCCGCTATTAACGGATAGATTTAATAGTTTGTAGCGGTTAGGACGCCCGTTGCGGCGAATGGCGATTGAGAAGCCTTCTGTCTTTGCTTCGGCTTCATGATTTGAGCCCGAACCGCGGCGAATTTTGGCGTGTGGCTGGAAAAATGTGGGGAAACTTTTTCAAAGATTTTTTTGGACTCGGTTCCTTCTTTGAAACTACTGGCGGAATCTCTAGGAAAGTTTCCTTGAACTCGCACGTGAAAAAAAGCAGATGATGCAGATGATGATGATGATTAATATTAATATTAATAATATAAATCAATACAAGAAGACAAGGAACTTGACAAGTTAGGTCAGGGGTCTTCAAACTTGACCCTTTTATGACTTGTGGACTTCAACTCCCAGAATTCCTCAGCCAGCCACGCTGGCTGAGGAATTCTGGGAGTTGAAGTCCACAAGTCATAAAAGGGCCAAGTCTGAAGTCCCCTGAGTTAGGTTCTGGTGAAGATGGAGGAGTTTGGTAACGGTGCTCCCCTCCCATTTCCCCAATGGAAATGATGGAAATTTCATGCCAAATCCCTCCCCCCCCACACACACACTTGGCTGGAGATGAAAAAGAAAACTTAACCCCATTTGTTGCTCCCCCTCCTTTGAAACATTTGGTTCCCCTTCCCTAATTATCTTGATGGCAACTGAGGGGGGGGGTATTTTCTTATCGGTAAAGGAAACAGGCATCAGCCAGGGTTCCTGTGCTCTCTGCTTGTTGCTGCCATAACTCAGGAAAGCCACATTTGGCATGACATGGGGCGAAGCCATCCCTTTTGTGAGGGTGGGTGGAGAAAAGCTCCTTTAAGGTCTGCAGAATTGGGATCGTGAGGATAGTAATGCCTATGGGAAGCTGGAGTATGGTGATACTCACCAGTATTTCTTAAATTATGGAGGTATTTTATGCCGGTCTCTGCACTAAAGTCAAGACTTGATGTGAGACCTACAGTATACCAAGGTTATAATGGTGGATACTCACCAATATTTCTTACATTATGGGAATATTGTATGCCAGTCTTTGCAGTAAGGTGAAGGATATGGGAACTACAACGAACCTATAAAACAGAACAGGATAGAACAGATGGAGACTTTATTAGACCCCCTTGGTTGAATGACATAGATGTTCATCCTGATTTTTCTGGACCAAATCTGCACTCAAACCCTGTTTCACAATGAGCTGTGGATTCCGATAATCCTCGATTTACAGCAGTTCATTTAGTGACTGTTCAAAGTTACAGTGGCTCTGAAAAAAGTGACTTGTGACTACTTTTCACACTTATGACCGTCGCAGCAGCCCCATGGTCACATGATCAAAGTTCAGACGCTTGGCAACTGACTCATATTTATGACGGTTGCAGTGTCCTGGGGTCATGTGATCACCATTTGCGACCTTCTGACAAGCAAAGTCAATGAGGAAGCCAGATTCATTAAACCACCTGGGTTACCAACTTAGCAACTGCAGTGATTCACTTAACAAGAAAGGTCATAAAATGGGGCAAAACTCAGAACTATCCTGCTTTACCAACAGAAATTTTGGGCTCAATTTTGATCGTAAGTTGAGGACTACTGTACATGCTTCTAAAAATAATAATTACTACTAATAATTATCAATTATTAATAAGTAATAAATAATTATTATTAAGTAATTAATCATTGCAGGATCTAATCTGGGCTGGTCACTGGGACTACAGGTTTAGTTTTCCAAGATTTCAGACTTGTGCACATTCCGATAGAAGTTCCCCGCGGATGGGCTCCAGCACAAGTTCAAAAACTCAGAAGACTAAACCTCTAGTCCTGGTAACCAACCCAGATTACATCCTGCAATATTATGCTGGGACAGGTATATTTGCCTTCATTCGTAATAATTACTGTTTATGGTTTGGCTGTTGACTTTGACAAGGAGAGGGAGATGCCTTGAATGGAAGCCAGCACAGACTTATCTTTGACCTTGATGCCTCTTTTTAGTGCCAGGCAAGAACATGCCCCACAGGTGATGACACAGGCCAGATTATACATGCAGCCACATGTGGCAGGAATGAACTGACTGACTTTTGTATTATTTCTGAGGGGATGTCATTTCTCTGCATTAATTTTAAGAAAAGTATCTCTGCAAGGAGAGATCGGCATCTCTAGAAGAACCTACAAGGTCTCTGCAGGACTGGATTTTTGCATGCAGGAAATGTTCTCCCTGAAGAGCATTCCAGTGGCATTTCAGGGATTTGAATAGATGTGCTCTTATCTCATAAAGATTCCTGTAACTCCAACCGTTGATGCAATTTCCAGTTTATAGGTGGGCAGGCCTGTTCAAGAGGAGATAAAAGTTTGGAAGAGTCAAAATAACAGCTGAGTCCTTGAGAGGGACAGGTATAAAAAGAGGCTAGGCTGAGACCTCAAGAAGGGGTGGTATGTTCATCACATGACCACAGTCAACATCTGGAATTTTTCACCCTCCGTGTTGGTCCCCTACAGATGGGAGATTGCTTTCTGGCACTACAATAGAAGACCTGACCAAACTCTACCACAAATGTGGTTCCCCCCAAATTTTCTTCCAGATATGCAAACAATTCATGAAACAAATTCTTCCCTTTGCCATTTTTCAATCATGCTTCCTTTTTCTCTCCATCTATCCATTCCTCTCCCCATTGCCGCCACTGCATTTCAGCCTGTTCTAGTGATCTGCCCTTCATCCATCCTTGTTCCTGCTGTTCCTCATCTATTCACATGTACTTCAGTGTAGTGCTCCCTTTTCTCTCTAGGCATTAGGGATGTCTGAAGGGAAGGGGCCAAACATGCATAAAAAAGGGCAAGGGTTTGGTTGACAATTGTGGGAACCATCTTCATTTTTTGACTCCTGCTAAGCATCAACCCACCACTTGCATGATCTGTGGTAATGAGAGAGAGGTGAATAATCTATGGCTATGCATGGACCCCAGCACACCTTTTTGCAACTGTTAGGCACTCTTTCCCCTTCTTAAAATGCCAGTGTTTTTCACCTTTTATGAGGCTTTAAGGGATGGTATGTTCCTATAAGACAGTGATGGCGAACCTTTTAGAGCTGAGTGCCCAAACTGCAACCCAAAACCCACTTATGCATCGTCGAGTGCCGGGTGGGTGTGGCCCATTGGCTGGGCGTGGCCCGTTGGCTGGGCGTGGCTGCAGTGGTAACAGCAGACTGGGTGGGACTAAAAAGTTCAATCAATCAATTCCAACTTTGCAAGTTCTTTTTTTTCCCCGTGAGAAGTTGAAATTGACTGAACTTTTTTTTTTTTTTTTTTTTGCACACGGCGGCGGAGGCCTAAAGTGAAAAGATTTTATAAAACCCAGCTGAAGGCCTAGGACTGGGGCGACGGCGCGCGTGCCCACAGAGAGGGTTCTGAGTGCCGCCTCTGGCACCCGTGGCATAGGTTCGCCACCACTGCTATAAGACCTAAGGCTCCAATTTTAACCCTTGATTGCCCTCCCCACAAGCCAAATATATAAGCTTTGCTTTCAAGAATGTGGTCCACTTCTGAAGTAGAATAAAAGAGGAGTTGAGAAGATTCTCACCCTTATCCTCACCTTTACAAATACTCTACTATAGTATTATAATACTATAATACATAAGCCAATATATTATTAGCTCTGATACAGATCTGCTTAGGACCCAATTAGAAAGCTGAAACACACTTTGCTGTGTCTTAATATACCTGGAAACTCACTGTAGTATAAAGGGCAAATATACCAACTGAGAACTGCTATAGCCTCTTATCCAGATCTGTGTCTGTTTTTGAAGTTTGCTAAGTGAGATGGGTTCACACACACATACACATACAAAAACATATTCTCCTCACTTCTGCATCTTTTCCATACTTCTGATCAATGTATCTCTCCCCACATAACTCATATTTTTTTCTCTTTCATGTATATTTACAGTGACCTTAAGTCCGTTACATTATTATAAAGGAGAGCTCTTTTTCCCCCCCAAAAAAAGCTTTAGATTTACTTTTCAAAAACTCACCTTTGTCCTTTATTTGGGTCATTTAACTTTTACCATACAAATAGTAGCAGTTAAAAGTCTTTCACATTCATGTAAAAAATATGGAAATTGAACTGTATTTATAAAATAAATGCAGGTATAGTTTGATTTTAGATATTAGCCTACAATATGTGCTTCTTATAAAGTTTTTCTTGGTTTTGCTCTTAAATTTTAATTTGTAAAGCAAATTTATAAACATAAACAATTACATTTTTGTCATTATGAACCTCTTTAAGATATGCCACTTTTTCAGGTTTATCCTTTATTGTTTCAAAGAAAATATGGTTGTCGTACATATATTGGACCTTTTTTTCCAAAAAGCTGCATCCACCTTCAAGCTCAGAGATTGATAAAGGCAGTCTTGCCAAAGTTTATGTAGTTTTAAATTCCTGTTAGATTTTAGTGGGAAAGTAAAAAAAAAAAACACATTTCAAGTCTATAGAGATTCTCAGTCATGCAGGTCATGGTTGTCCCAAATGTGCTTTTTCAAAAGGCAACTGGACTTTCTTTGTTTTTCCTTGAAGATGTTTTGCTACTCACCCAAGAAGCTTCTTCAGTTCTAACTGAACGGTAGAGAATGGAAGGATTTATATTTATATTCCTTGCAGTCACAACCGCAAGGAATGTAAATGCTTCCGTTCTTTACCATTCGGTCAGAACTAAAGAAGCTTCTTGGGTGAGAAGCAAAATGTCTTCAAGGAAAAACAAAAAAAGTCCAGTTGTCTTTTAAAAAAGCACCTTTGGGACAACACATTTCAGGCTTTCTCGGGAGATTGTGAAGGTGCTTAATTTTGTATCAGGCCAGAATATTTTATGTTTTATTTTCTTCCCTATTCTCACAAGGTGATTCTGGACCAGTTCAACCCAAGTTTAAGGAATTTTGTTACCATGGGGAAAAGTTATCAAAAAGCCCTCTCAGGTAAGGGAATACCCCATTCCAACTCCCTGACTTTGAATCAGATCAGCATTGGCCCTTTGCAGGAGAAACATTTTGTATTCAAAGTTCATTATCTGATGTCTGTTCTCTCCCACTCTCTGTTCACCTTTACAGGGGTTACTGTTGCTGCCAAAGGCTACTTTGATGCCTTGGTGAAACTTGGTGAGTTGGCCAGTGACAGCCAAGGATCCAAAGAGCTGGGTAGGTTTCTTGATTGATCTGTTTTGTCTCTTCCAAAACAACAATTCAAATACTTGAACAACTGGTTCTCTTATTGGATGCAGGCCTGGGTCTCCGAGGCCTAGAACAGACTTCCGGAAGTGGCATCCACGCACTTCCGGTGGGTCATTCTAGACCTGGGAGGCTTCCTCCAGACCTCCAAGGCCTAGAACAGACTTCCAGAAGTGGCATCCATGCACTTCCGGTGAGCATTCAGCCAGTTCTCTGAACTTAGCAAAATTTAGCTACTGGTTCTTCTGAACCGGTGCGAACCGATTGAATTCCACCACTGGTCCAGCCACTGTGTTCTTTGATAGCCTCGTTTCCTTTTACCACTAATTCTTTTTATTTTTCTATAGAATTTTCTATAGAACGTCACAAAGTACAACACAAATAACCTTCCGTAACCTGAAGTCCCATGTCTTTTGAAGTGTTGGGACTTTAGCTCCCAGAATTCTTATCCGGTATTGATAAAGGAAATACACTGGCAGCGTATTGCGGCGTGCGGGGGGCATCAGGTTAGGAAAGGTTAAAACAGCTTTGGACAGAGTTAGCCAATCAGGCTACATATCTAGGATACAAAATTCCAAGCAGGCACTAAGTGGGAAGAAATACAGGTAGTCCTCTACTTACAACCATTAATTTAGTGACCATTTGAAGTTACAATGTCACTGAAAGGTGACTTAGGACCATCTTTCACACCTAAGGACTGTTGCAGCATCCTCGTGGTCACGTGATCAGAATTCGGGCTCTTAGCAACTGACACGTATTTATGATAGGTGCGCTTTCCCGAGGTCATTTGATCAGCATTTGTGACCTTCCCAGCCATCTTCCAGGAAGCAAAGTCAATGGGGGATGCCAGATTTGCTTAATGACCACATGATTCACTTAATAACTGCAGTGATTGAGTTAAATGTGGCAAAAAAGGTCGTAAAATGAGGCAGAATTCACACTTAACTACTGCCTTGGTTAACAATGAAACTTTGAGGCTCAATTGTAGTCATACGTTGACCATTATTTGCATGTCTATGTGGCCATCTAACTGCTATCTGGATTTTTGCAGCCCAGATATAGTAGCCTGAGTATTGTTGGCTGGGGAATTCTGGGAGTTGAAGTCCACATGTCTTAAAGTTACCCAAAGTTGAGACAGACTGGTTTACCTTATGAAGACTGGTCTTGTGACCTGTTCACTTTCCCTCTTTCTGGCTTGCATATGTATACTATGTGACTGGATATCCTTACAATTTGGCAACCAAATTATACTGGTGGCATCATGGAAACCACCCCCAGAGAGAAGTAATTCCATGCATTTAAGGTAAACTGAAATGAAGAACTTATGTGTTCAGCAGAATCAGCTGGGAAATTTTGCTTGTGCTGTACAGGTTTATAGTGAGGAAGAGTTGTCAAACATGCAGCTGAGAGAAAAATGGGGATTTTTTTCAAGTTTAATTATTGTCAGAACCCACCCATCCCCAAATATCAGTAAGTATGGTAGAGTCAAAGGACAGGGTTATTGTTGATGGAGTTAATTGTATAACTATCCTTAATCTACTTTAAGTTATTTTGGGGGGGATTTTTAGCATTTTATTTTCTATGAATGCTCTAGCATTTTGTTAAGGACCACAGGAGTTGTTGGAATGCAGATTATGTTTATAGCAAACATTTTGCTATAAAGCAGATGACATGGGTTTAATTAAAATATTTTATAAATAAAGTTAAGTCTAGGCAGACTAGTGGACCTAGATCAATAAATGGCAAGTACAACATTAGGCCTGGTACTCCAGCTGTGGATGATGGGACTTGTAAATATCAAGCACATTTGGAGGGGACTAGTTGCAAAAGGCTGTTCTAAATCATTAGATTTTTGCATGTCTCTTAAGTTATTCCTAAGTATATGTGGGGATACGCCTGACTATGTTCATGATATACAGATAGTCCTCAACTTACAACAGTTCACTTAGTGTTGTTTGAAGTTACAACTGTACTGAAAAAAGTGAGTTATGATCATTTTTCATACTTATGACCATTGTAGCATCCCTATTGTCACGTGATCAAAATTCAGATGTTTTGCAACTGACTCTTATTTATGACGGTTGCAGTGTCCAGGGGTGGTGTGATCACCTTTTGTGACCTTCTGACAAGCAAGGTCAATGGGGAAACCAGATTCACTTAACAATTGTGTTATTAACTGCAGTAATTGTGGCAAGAAAGGTCCTAAAATGGGGCAAAACTCACTTAACAAATATCTCACTTAGCAACAGAAAGTTTGGGCTATATTGTGGTCATAAATAGAAGACTACCTAGGCAGTTAATCCTCGATTTACAACCACAGTTGGGACTGGAAAATTTGATGTTAAATGGTATGATTGTTAAGTGAGATATCACATGACTGTCATCTGATTTTATGATCTTTTTGTCACAGTTATTAAGCGAGGCAACGCATGATAACGATTTGCAACCTTCCCTGCCATTTGCCCCCTTGACTGTTGGCAAGGAAGGTCGCAAATAGCAACCGTGGTGGCTCTGGGATTCTTCAAATGTAAATGCGAGATGGTTGCCAAGTGCCCCAATTGCAATCAAGTGATCACAGGAAAGCTGCAATGATCATAGGTGTGAAAACTGGTCATAAGTCACTTTTTTTCAGCACCATCATAACTTTGAACAATTATTAAACGAATAGTCGTAAGTTGAGGATTATCTGTATCAGTGGTTATCAGTGGTTATCAGTGGTCCCCAATCTTTCTAGCTTGCTGGCCTGGCCTGGCATGTGGGGGTGTGCCTGGCCTGGCACACAGCTTCATTTGTGCAAGCATTGTGTGCACATGCCCTCCTCTCACCTGAATGGAGCTTCATGCGCAAGCAAAAGGTGCCTGCACTCGCGCATGAAGCTCCATTCGCACGAGTGGAGGGCACTTGTGCTTGTGCATGAAGCTCCACTTTCATGAGTGGAGGGCGTTCACGCACCAAGCATCATTACGTAATTGGAGTTTTGCACATGAGCGCAAGCACCTTCTGCTTGCAAGTGAGCTTCACATGCGCATGCTTGCCCATTTCTCCCACAGCCTTAGTAGTGGGCCGTGGCCTGAGGGTTGGGGATCCCTGTGTTACATAAATTTAATCTCTGTACCATAAGTAAAGTATGTAGATCACGGGTTGCTGACTCAAGGCAATATGTACACAGCTTTCTCCAAAGTTCTCTGGAGCAAGATTTCTCAGCCTTGGCAACTTTAAGCTGTGTGGACTTCAACTCCCAGAATTCCCCAGCCAGCATTAAAGTTGCTGTGACTAAGAAACCCTGCCGTTGAGCATGAAAGGCTTTGCTGGTTCCAGTTGAAAGCTGTTTCTTCGGGGAATGGAATTAACTCCAAAGGAGATTACCCTGGGACAGGGTACAAAAAGATCTTTAAATGTGGAGGGACTTCTTTGGGTGCATTAACCCTTCAGTTGTCTTGGCCTTCAGGTGATACCTTGTTCCAAATGGCTGAAGTCCACAGGCAGATGCAAGTACAGTTAGAGGAGACGGTGAGTATCCACGTGTGATATTAGCCCAGCACCAGATCTGGCCATATTAGATTAATAGCCTGCTTTTTTTCTGGCTTCACATTCTTCTTATGTCCTAGATTGGACCTGCAGGCCCATTTTTCCCAGTACCTTCTGAATGTCTTACAGCCATTTCTGGAACCCAGAAGAGAGGGGAGGGAGGGAGAAATACAGATCTCCCTTTGTCTGATTGTCATCTGCCCTTTTCTGCTTTCCCATCCCTTCTCCTTAGCTGAAATTTTTCCACTCTGAGATGCTATCCCAACTGGAACACAAACTGGAGCTGGATATCAAGTATCTGATGGTAAGTGAAAAGATTTGTCTGCATCTCCCCACTCTGTAATTTCAAATTTGTCTCTCTGTGGCTGCCTATCACCTCATTCTTATTATTATATATTTTACCCAGTTCATAATGGCTGAATCCACATAGCCTGCTGCCATAAAGCATGTTAACAGACACAATGTGGTAAGCCAATACTAAACATGGCTTAAAGCAGTGATGGCGAACCTTTTAAACACCGAGTGCCCAAAAACTGGCCCCGCCCCCACTCCACCTCCCTGCCCCGCCCCACCCATCCCCCACCCCGCCTGCCCATAAGACCACTCACCGCCTCCAGGGCCTTTTGCAGATCACCCAGGCAGCCCACTAGCGCTATGCCGGCCACACCCTCTGCCTGTGCCCTGCAGCATCAACTGCATGATGGGGTGTGAGGAAAGAGTCTTGTCTACGCTGCCTGGCTGCCATGTCTTTGGCTGCGCTGCTCCGCGTGGGCCACGCTCAGGGGCAACTCTCCTTCAGGGGGGGTGCTGGAGAGGAGGGGGTCATGGGGGGAGGCAAGGCTGGGACAACGGCACGTGTGCCCACAGGGAGGGCTCTGAGTGCCGCCTCTGGCACCAGTGCCATAGGTTCGCCACCACTGGCTTAAAGAGAGTCCAGCTTTAAATTTGGGGTTTCTTAGTGCAGGAGAAGAGCAGACAGAGCTGGGGTGCAGGTGGGAGGGTGGAGTTAAGCATGTCATCAGCTTGCGTTCCCATAAAGCACTTCCAAGTCTAACCCCTCTTGAATTCCGTTGACCTTTATCTGGCATCAATTTTGTGTTGAACTTGTGTTGACCAGATTCTTGTGGATAGGCTTGAATAAATGTCCTATGCTGCAACCTTACAAAGGGTCCTGATTCTTTGCACCTGACAGTTAAGTCAGCCAGGGAACCCAGTTTTCCAAATCTAATGACCAACACATGTACTGGATTTCAATTCTCAGAATCTCCCTGTCAATTAAAAGTCTGATCTGTCTGGAGGACACCAAGTTGTGAAATCTAGCATCTTGATTTAGCATGGATTTTGATTCCCCACCATATTAGATACAACTTTCTTTCTTGGTAGTCCTCGCTTAGTGAATTGGCAAAATATCATTTAGGATTTTACTTTCTCATTCTCTATGAACTCTCCTTGTCACAAATGACAATCATGTCACCCAAGGATGCTGTATATCATAAGTGTGAGGATTGGCCACAAAGCTTTTTTCCCCCACCTTTGTAACTTTGAACAGTTTCTAAACAAAGCAGTCAGGATTATTTGTATGGCCATCTGCTTCTGGTTAAATAGGATTCAAATCTCAACAGTAATTTTGGAAACATCTGTGCTTTGATGGGTAAACCATGGGGTGCTCTACAACTTCAAAGCTTGTTCACCCCATTTCCCCAACTTCCAGGCTACTCTGAAGAAATACCAAGCAGAGCATCGTGCCAAAGCCGAATCAATCGAAAAGTATCAGTCTGAGCTGAAGAAACTGCGCAAGAAGTGCCAGAACAGTAAAAACCCAATGAAATATGGGGATCGTGAAGTGCAGGTAAGTTTGAAGGAGAAGGAAAGGGAGAATGACATTGCAAGAGGATATCGCTCCATTCCAAGCGTCTCCTAGGTGCTCAAACACTTTTCGCCTGGATGGAGATCTGACAGAAACATGATGGAGACTGGAAGCTCCGTTTGCATGCAACAGAAGCATGCATCGGGAACAGAAGCTCCGTTTCCAAGCGTCCCATTTGCATGCAGACAAAGCTTCCAGTCTCCGTCAGGTCTCTGGGCGAAAAGTGTTCCGGCGGTGGCACATTTAGATGTGTTGCTTTCACTACTCATAAACATCAGCCAAAAAGGCCATGCTGCTTAACAACTATAGGATGAGTCCAGCATATCTGGAGAGCACCAGATTGGGATATGCTAAGCAATTCTACAAATGGCATGTGCAGAAGGCTGTGGTTTACAGTGGCCATTGCAGTACTACCTATATGAGTAACTTCGATGTACATGATAACCACTAACTAAACTTACAAGAGGAAGTGGGTTAACCCTGAAAATAAATCAGCAGAGAGAGTTGAATAGCCACAGATGCTAAATAAATGCTATTAGATGCTAAAACCCAGACAGCGCATAAGCACATTTTCCCCAAAATATACTCTTATTAATTCGGCATGTACAAAGAGTATGGTTTGTCGTATCCTGTGCCTAATTAGAAGGATATGCTGCATTTTTAAATTCTGACAAAGTTTGAGGCGTGCGTTGTCATGGCACTAAAAATGCAAATTGATGCAATCTGGACGCAAAAAATGGTATAGGGGGAAAGTGCTTGAAAAATTGGGTTTCCGCAATCTTTCAGAGCGGCCTCTTCCTCTCAGCTGTGCATTAGAAGTTGCTGTCTTCTTCAGTGTAAAAATGAAACCTGGCAGCTGTTGCTCCCTCCCCTTCCCATGTGCGTCTGGGTCGCTGCCTTCTCTCTGGGTTGCTGTCTGGTCCTGCGATTGGGGTCACTAAGAACGAGAGGTCTTGAAAGGGTTTAATATTCTGTAGCCATTTGGAGCTTAAAGAGATAAGCTCTGCGGAGGGGCTACCTGTGAAAAAGAAAAAAAATGACCCTGATGCACAGATTGTTTTACATACCTGCCCACAAATGCACACACAGTTTTGCATACAGTGTCCATGAACAGGCACTGTTCTCGTGCAAACCATTTACAAGCTCTGTTCTCGTGCAGAATATTTACAAGTTCTATTCTTGTGCAAAACACTTGCAGGCCCTGTTCTTGTGCGGAACATTTTCAAGCCCTGTTCTTATGCAGAACACTTATAGGCCCTGTTCTTGTGCTAAAGATTTATAGAACCCTATTTCTATATGTATTTGCCCTGTAAGTGTCTAGTGTTCCTTTTTGCACCACCATTTTCTCATAGACAGTAACTCCTCAACTGTTTCGCTCCAAATCTTAAAGGGGATGGATGCAGTCCTAAAAAAAAAAAAAAAAACCAACAACAAGCCAAAAGCAGGCCAGAAATTTGGTCTACTGCACAGTATTGCAAATGCCGCACACCAGGAAGTAGGCCACTCACCAGTGTGGGCTTGTATGTGCCGGGTGTGCCCAGGCTGGCAAGCTGACAGAATTCATCCTCCATTCACACTGTTTCCTCCTGGCTGCCTGACTCACTCTGGGCCCTGCATCCCCTATTTATCTTCCCTCCCCCCCTCCTCCCCTCCCCATCCTGGGAATCCCCACAGCAAGCTTTGGGCTCCTTTTGTCAACCTTGTTGCCACAGTAACCATTACTTCAGGATCAAGGCCTGCTTCAACTGGAGGGGAGAGCAGTAATAAAGGGGCACAGGATAACCCTTTATTGCCCATATCTTCTGAGATTGCCCGTTGCCTCCCAGCCTAAGGTGCTGATAATGGAGAATCTAGCACTTAATACAAATCTGAGCTTTTTTTTCCTCTTTTTTTGTGATTGCAATGATACATGCAGGACACGCGGAGGCTCCATGAAACCTTTTAGGGTGCATCTTCCGAGAATCCTTTTTTTAAGGTGACCAACTTTTTTACAATAAAAAGGAGGACACAAATAAATTGAAGAAAAAAACATCGTAAATAAAAGAAACATTTTATTCATTGCAACAATAATACAGACAACTTGCATCTGCAAAGTTTGCCAGCCGGGTGTTTTGGCACGCTCAGCAGCAATTCCTATTGGCTTTCGAAAGCCAATAGCGGGAGTAGCACAGCTCATGCAAAAGTTGAAAAAAACCCATCAAAAAAAGGTGCCGGAACACCTGAGCGTTCTATGAGAAAAAAAAGCCCTGCAGATTAGTCTTCAAATATCAAAAAGGAGGACATGAAGGAGGACACATTTCGAGGGAGGACAGAACTTACAAAAGGAGGACTGTCCTCCCTAAAGGAGGACGGTTGGTCACCTTACTTTTTTTAATTTTAAGGATGGTACCAATAAAGGAGAATATTTGTAGCTCAGGGTTGAAATGAAAGGTCCTTGGTGCTCTCTGAGCTCGGTTATTTTTTTGCAGACCTTTCATTACCCAAACTAGAGATGTCATTGGTGCTTCTGCTGCTCCAGAGTGCACTGATGATGTTACCTAGTTTGGGTAAAAAACGTCTGCAAGAAAACAAGCTCAGAGAGTCAGAGGACCTCTCATTTAAGGATGGTGTCAGAAATCAGGGGGTCTTGCACCCTTCTGGGGTTTTGGACCACAGCTTCCAATCATCTGTGCACGAAGCAGCCATAGATTATGGGAAAATCTAATGCATCTGGAAAATGACAGACTACTGTACCTTTTCCTAAATGGTGATAACTGGTCTACAACAATAATACGGAATACTGCATCTAAAAGTTGTAGAAAATCCTGCTTGGGGCTCTGAGGAGCTTTTCAGAATCTCTTTGCCAAGGAAGGAGTTGTGCTTTTGTAAATAAAACTTGAAAGCCTGCTGCTTTGACCCTGAATGTCGGGGAATGTAAGGACTTTTTTTTTTGTTAAACAATATGCTTGTGATAATAATGTGTAAGTCAATGCAATATGCTAAGTATAGCCTTGAACAGAAAAATAGGGAGTATAGCCTTGAACAGAAAAATAGGGAGAAATTATGTCTGGTAAATGTAAAAATCTGAATATAAGATAGAATATTTCGGTTTTGGCCTGTAGGACAAATTGCAGGAGTTGAAATAACCGACCAATAAAATATTGCAGATAAGGGGGTTGGGATGTGGGAAAGGCTGTAATAGGATTTCAGAATATTGTATGAAACAGTAATATCATAACAGCAATAATAATAGGTATATTCTACTTATATAAAGCACATTTTAACCTGCTGGATTTTTCAGGGGGCCTGACAATGATAATAACAAAAATTCTTATTAAGACTGCTGAGTAAAATACACAAATTATTTAGATATACCAATGTAAAGATGCCTTTGATTCAGGCTCAGCTCATGGTGGCTTCTTAAAATTATGCAGAAGCTTTTGAGAACAATTTGAGAACAAGAGCGTGATACCCAGTGGTGGGATTCAAATATGTGAACAACCGGTTCTCTGTGTGGATGCTGCTTCCGGAAGTCCATTCTGGACCTGGGCAACAAAGTGATATGAACCGGCTGAATCCCACCACTGATGATACCACCCAAACCATTTAATTCTGCTGCAGATATTAGAAATTTAAACCCAGTGCATCAGAAGAGCAGCACGATAGGCAAGATTGGCCCAGTGCATGTTTGTATGGTTTTGTCTCTGAGAGGTAGGCATTATTGAGCCTGCTGCCTCTCTCTCTCTCTCCCTCCCTCTGCATCTCTCCCTCCCTCCCTTCCTCCCTCTCTCCCTCCTTCTCCCTCTCTCCTTCTCCCTCTCTCTCTCCCTTAGTATGTGGAAATCATGAGCACCAAGCAGAGCGAGCTGGATTGGTTTGTGGCGGAAGGCTACAAAGCAGCCCTGACGGAGGAACGGCGCCGGTACTCATTCCTGGTGGACCGCCAGTGTGCTATTTCCAAGCACTTCAGCAATTATCACAGCAAGGTGAGCTGCCTCTCTTTTCCCTCCTCCCCTCTCTCCTCCTAACATATGCTTTGGGCTCAAATTCACCCTAGACCAGGAGTCTCCATGGACCGGTACTGGGCCCTGGCATGCCAGCAACCAGTCCCCACAAACAAGCAAAGCCCCATCTATGGGATGCAGGCAGCACACAAAAACACACACTCTCCAGTCCGTGGAAAAAACTTTTCTCCATGGAACCGGTCACTGGTGCCCAAAAGGTTGGGGACCTCTGCCCTAGACATCTTCCAGCAAAACTTGGAAACAAGGACTCCTGTGTGTGTTGTGATTCCATATTTGCAAGAGAGGTGTCAGAAAAACTTCAGTTGTGACCACTATCCTGCCTTTTATGATAATATCCCCGTGGATACCGCTTCTTGCAATATGGAAGTACAAAATTCCCCATGTTTAACTACCAGTGGTCCTCAACTTACAACCATTCATTTAGTGACTGTTCAAAATTACAGCAGGACTGAAAAAATTACTTATGACCGGTTGCAGTTTCTCTATGGTTACGGTGATAAAATTGCATCCTGCATATATTCATAATGGCTGCAGCATCCCAGGGTCATGTGATCACCATTTGCAACTTTTCTAGCCAGCTTCTGGCAAGCAAAGTTAATAGGAGGAGCTGGATTCACTTAATGACTGCGTGATTCATTTAACAACCATGGCAAAATAGGTTCTAAAATGGGCATAACTCACTTAATAACTGCCTTGTTTAACAACAGAATTTTTTGTTGCAATTGCGGTCATAAGTCAAGGATTATTTGTAGAATCAAATAAGGAGGAAGGCAACATGAGAATCCCAAGATGTGTTCTTGATTCCCAGAGGGAAAACCAAAAATACATCTTGCTGCTTGAACTTCTAGAGCAGACATGTCAAACACAAGGCCAGCGGGCCGGATGCGGCCCGCAAAGTGGTTTCATGTGGCCCGCAAAGCCATCCTGGAAACAGTGAGGGAACGGCCCCCGGTGCTTTGGCCCTCCAGTGGATCATGTGAGGCTCCTCCAGTGGACCATGCTTTGACACTTGCCCTGGTCCCACCCCCTTCTGCCAGAGACCCTCAGATCTGTCCCACTCCTGCCCAGGCCCCCACAGGCACCCTTGACACGAACTATTTAGAGCTGGCCACGCCCACCCAGTAGGCCAAACCCACTCCATCCACGCCCACCCAGTAGGCCGCACCCATCTTGGCCACACACACCCCCTGAGGGCAACCGCAATGCTGATGCGCCCTCAATGAAATTTAGTTTGACACCCCTGTTCTAGAGGGAACGTTGGGAAATAAATATAGACTTTCTCTAAAGTAAAGAAGAAGAAATTAGATGTGGTGTTAAGGACATCTGTTCGTTCAACGTGAATAGCACAGATACTTTCTGCTAGGGGTGGTGATAATTACTGAGACTGCATCAGGTTTAATTTTTCCTGCTTTCTGAAATGCTGAAGAAAAATCCTCTCTTGTAGCTCCTGTTGCATGGAAGAAGATTGTCTATTAGCACAAATGAAGGATTGCTTCCCAAAACTTATTCTAGCTTCAGTGGAGAGTTTTCCTCAGTAGCCCAGCAAAACCTGTTTAACCAATAAATTAAAATTCCCTTCCCATAGTTGTCTCAGATACACACACAAGCATATCTTTCAGCTGAATGTTAAATGAAGGGATACATTAACTCCTTGTTCTAAGTTTCCAGGCCATATGACTGTGCAGCTAAACTTCCTGTCAACACTTGGAATCAAAGGCAAGCAGAACCCAAGACAACATCTTCATTCCTCAAACTAGGAAGCAATTGTTCATTAACAGAGCTCAATGGATTTTCTGCTGTTGGCAAGTTTTAGAAAGAAAGGATGTAGATAAAGGAGAATGTAGCTCAGGGTTGAAATGGAAGGGGGTTCCTTGATGCTCTCTGAGCTTGGATGTTTTCTTGCAGACATTTCATTACCCAAACTAGGTAACATCAGTGGTAGTAGGGAGTGGGGTTTGTTCTCTTTTTATATATCAGTGGCTTACTTTGTAGGTGTTAGTGGAAGTGGTCTTGGTGGGTTTTTGGTTGGGTTGTTTACTGTTGGCTTATTTGGCAGTTCTTTGATTGGGTTATTGTTCACTTCTTGATTGTTGTCTGGTTGTTGTCTGCAAGAAAACAACCAAGCTTAGAGAGCAACAGAAACCCCTCAGAAAGAATATAACTTGACTTCCAGTTTGACGTCGCAGCATAACGGGCACAGGAAGATGGGGCTCCGTCTTTTATGTTCGATTTCGCCCTGCTGGGGACCCTATAAAGGGTTGAAAGTCGCCCCGAAGAGGTGATGGAGAAGGATGGGACCCTCATTGATCGTGGGAGGGCAGCAGCCCTTCTGTTTGATCCATGAAAGCCCTCCAAATTGGCAGGGGAAAGACTAGCTACATTCGTGTGGCCAGAAAGAAGCTGCTGACAACCGAAGAAAATAAGCAGTAACCAGCAACTTTTGAGCAACGTGGATGGAACTGGGTGAGACCCTATCCTATCTTCATAACTTTAAGACTTTTTCCTGGCAAAAAACTGCCCAAAGCAAAGAATGGATGTTCCATACTTAGCTTCAAATGGTAAAAAAACATCCCTAATACCTGTCCCCAAAGTCCCCAGCTTGATATACCAACAAGAAAATGCTGATGAATTTCAGAAAGAAATTCTTTCTATGTTAAAATCAATACAAGAGACAATTGATTTAGTTCATGATTAAATTAAAAATAATACAAAGGAGATAAAAGAACAATTCTTTAATCTAAATCTACAAACTCGGAAAATGACTACAAAGAAGGAACTAGCAACCCAGAAAATAGAAGGAAAATCAGAGGAAGCAGATCCAAAGATGGAGGACCTAAAGAAAGGAACTAACAGACAGACTCAGACAAACGAAGAATTAGAAGACATAGCGATAATATCGGAAATGGAAAAGATATCTTAGCTGTCAAGATCTCAGAATACACTTGAGGATAAGAAAGAAGAGCTGATTGAATGGAAGATAGAGCTGTTAGGAGAATTGTGGGAAATTGGAGAAGGAGGGAGGCTGTTTAATGAATATCAATGGGCTGAGCATCCTTCCAAAAATACTTTAATCAAATTGTCTTTCTTGTTCCATACAATATACACAAAAATAGAGGAAGAATTACTTGATGATTCAAAAGCATTAACTTGGAAAGTTAGTTGGCAAAGGAAGAAAGCTAGAGTAAGACTGAAGAAAATAGAGGTTTTGACCCATTATTTGGGCATTATACTATTAATCAGATGTTTGAACTTGGCTGAGAATAGATAATTGTTAAAAATAGAAGTATTATAACTAGAAAGATAGGATTTATAACTAGAATATTATATTTTGGTATGAGAAGGGAAATATGAAAATGCTAAGAGGGTTTGTATAAGGGAAGCTTTTAGTTACCCAAATATAATATTATGAGAAATTATAAGCGAAAGAGACATTTTGAACACTGATGGAAAATTAATTTTTTTTTAAAAAAAGCAGGAAAAACAGGATATTAATTGAACAAATGCAATTAAGATATATTTTGGTTAGAAAAGATATTTTAAACCGACATTATTGATATTATTAGGAAAATGTAACAAAGATGTTGATATTCAATTGTATATGTATTAACAACAATAAGAATTGTATTTGCCTAATCTGGGAAAATGTGTACTACCGAAAGAAGAGAGGAAGCATTGGATGGCGTAATATTGGGCCTAGATTGAAAAAGTTAATATGTACCACTGAATTACTAATGGACCCAGGACAACATGTTGTTTATTAATTACTTATGATTGCAAAACTAGAAAATTAATAAAATTTTTATATATAAAAGGGTATAACTTGGCTAGCTGAAAAGATGATCAGACCACCATCATCTCATTTGTAACAGGTGCAGGAGCTGTTGGCAGCCAGACTGCCTGCCTGGCAAACATCGTGCACCCAACCTACCCGTTTACCTGAGCGGGCATTGGCTTTGGTCAAGCTCACAGCCAACAACACCACAGCTGGCATTTCTGTTCCAGCCATGGATCCCCTCCTTGTCTCCAAGACCCTGGAAGAGCCTTTTGAATTGGGACAAAATCGCGTGAGTCTTTGTGGGTCAGGGCTGATAAACAGGATGTTAGCTTTTCCGTTTGCCTTTAGTGCAGTGGTTCTCAACCTGTGGGTCAGGACCCCATTTGGGGTCGATCGACCATTTCACGGGGGTCACCATTTTTTTGTCCGCCATTTTTTTTGTCCGCCATTTTTTTCCCCTTTTCCGGTGGGTGCCTTACCTCCCTTGGGCTGGGTCAGCTGGTGATCGGCCTGCTCCGTCTCTGCCGCTTGCCAGCTATGCCTCAGCCGGCGCAGGGGGCGGAACCACGCATGTGCGGCGCTCCCGGGCAGGGAAAGTCCTTGACTTACGACCGGTTGGGTAGTCCTCGACTTACGACTGGTTTAGTCCTCGACTTACAACTGGTTTAGTCCTCGACTTATGACCGGTTGGGGTCACGGCATTAAAAAGGTTGAGAACCACTGCTTTAGTGTTTGGGTTCGAGTTTCTAAAAACCATTGAGGTCTCCAAATGGCAGCTTCTGATATGGCCTGGAGCAGGAATGAAGAGGGACTTCCTGGCCTTTAGGTCATGGAAGACGCATTTCTTCTACAGGGGAAAAACGAAGAAGGGATGCTTCCGAAAACCTGTATGAGATCTCATCAGTGCCCTGCGTTTATTCATTCCTAACTTATTTCCCATAGCGGACTTCAATCCAGGAAGGAACATTGCTGCTAAATGGTGATTTGCACCGTGGACGGGGATCCCGTGACTTCAATCACCTGCCAGTCAGTGAGTCCCTCACCACCATCACCTCAGGTCTGACCCCCATCCAGCCCACTTCACAAATCAAGATTGCTGACAGCTACTCTTGCACTCTGCCAATGCCACGCAAGATGTCAATGGAAACTCGCCTGGCAACTGTAGGTGGGTATTCCGCATTGATTCTAATTTGCATCCCGTTCTGAGTCCATCTTCTTTCAGCCAATGTATCCTTTAACAGTGCAGGTAGTCCTCGATTTACAACCACAATTGAGCCCAAAATTTATGTTGCTAAGTGAGATGGTTGTTGTGAGTTTTGCCCCATTTTATGACCTTTCCTGCCACAGTTATTAAATGAATCATTGCAGTTGTTGAGTCAATAGCACGGTTGTTAAGTCACTCTGGCTTCCCCATTGACTTTGCTTGTCAGAAGTTTGCAAAAGGGGATCACATGACACCAGGATATGGCAACTGTTGTAAGTATGAATCAGTTGCCAAGCATCCAAACTTTGATCACATGACCACGGAGATGTTGCAATGGTCATAAATGTGAAAAACGGTCATAAGTCATTTTTTCAGTGCCATTGTAACTTTGAACAGCCACTAAACGAATGTTCTAAGTCGACGACAACCTGTAGTTCCAGGATTTTGACATTTGATCCATCCCGTTCTCATTAAATTCTGATCTGGGGTGTTGGAAGAATGCACATGCTATTCTTTGTAAGACGAAGAATAAAACCTATTTTTCATTCTTGTGCCATTTTTGGAACTGGGGATACTGGTTGAAAAGATGCAAAAATATAAAGAGAAGTCCAGCATTTTCTGTGAGGGAAAGACAAAGACCCATACGGAGTTACTCTTACTTGGAGATGCAGCCTGGTGTCTCTTACCTAATCCAGGGGTCTCCAGACTTGGCAACTATAAGACTTGTAGATTTCAGTTTCCAGAATCCCTCAGTCAGCCATGCTGGCTAGGGAATTCTGGAAGTTGAAATCTACAAGTCTTAAAGTTGCCAAGTTTGGAGACCCCTGCCCTAATAAAATGAGACAAAAGTAAGATGCAATCATTAACGGTTAATTAACCCCCAATATATTCTTCCAAAAACCAGTTTCAAGTTGATTCTACCCAGCCAAATTTTGATCTGGAAGCAGAAAGAGAAATATTACCAAATACAGGCCCGGGGCGTGATGAAGCAAATTCTATAAGCAGGCTAGTTTAAGAGGTCTATAAAACCCATATGTGATCTCTCTAGAATCATGTATTTTATAGCAATCTGCAGCAATCTAGTATTTTCCTATTTTCCTTTCCTCTGAGATTGTAATTCCAGCATTCTGGCTGGGCACTTTAGTTTAGTCCCGTAATCCCTGGGCACTTGTAAAACCTGACTGGAAACATTGCTCAAGGGCAGTATTTCTCAATCTTGGCAACTTGAACATGAGTGAACTTCAACTCCCAGAATTCCCCAGCCAGCATTGCTGGCTGGGGAATTCTGGGAGTTGAAGTCCACTCATCTTCAAGTTGTGAAGGTTGAGAAACATTGCTTGAAAGTTTACTTTGCTTAAGCAGAAAACAGCAGGGGAGAAACATACCCAACCTCTCAGGAATGCCATTAATTTCCACCTATTCTCCCCACCCTTTCTCGCAGTAGAGAACAAGACCCTGCCCCGCATTAATCCTCTTTCAATCCTGCCTCCACGTTCCGAACGTCCGAGAGTCCAGGCAATGTTCTCACATTCGGCCGGAGAGAACAGCACCCTTCTCAACTTCCAAGAAGGAGACATCATCCTTTTATTGGTGACTGAGGCGAAGGACGGCTGGCATTATGGGGAAAACGAGGCAACCAGAATGTGAGTGAAAACTTCTCTGTTCCCTTGGCCCTAGAAAAGCTAGATTACTACAGGTAGTCCTCAATTTACAACCAGTCACTTAGCAACTGACTGAAATTATGACAGACTCAAAAAACAGTGGGGGGGGGACTTACGACCCAGATCTGAAATTCCAAGGGTCAGTCTTGAGTGTTCAACAGCACAGCTTCATTTATGACCATTCACACTGTCCCACGGTCACTTAATCGCATTTTACGATAATTTTGCTGAAATCTGCTAGTTACTTCCAGTTTTTGGCAAAACCACGCCCATAGCAAGCGATTGGTATAATGATCATCTAGCAACCTCTGTAATTCACTTAACGACCGTGGCGATTTGCTTAACAACCACTGCCAAAAAGTCATACAATTGTTTTTTGCAACTGTTATGACTTATGACCGTAATGGTCAGGCGCCACTACGATTGTAATTTGAGGACTATTTGTATTCTCTTTCCCATTCGTAGGATGGATCCCTCCAGGCAGTGTGTCTCTACTTACAGGGATGCAGTGGGCAACTCAAATACGTGGGTCATGACATTTAGATAAAAGGATTCCCTATTAAAGGAGAGGGTCCCCATAAGGTTAGAGAAGAGGCATAGCTCTCCAGCTAAGAGATTCCAGATACCTGCCAGGGATAAGAAAGAGCACCAATCAAAGTGGGCAATCCTGGCTAAAACAAATGAATAGGGCAAAGTGATTGTTATTTACTTATTTAGAGAATTTATATGGCCACCCATTCTCTTTCAGTGACTCTAAGTGGCTTACAAAAAATGAAAATCCAATCTAAAAAGAGTAAAAACAACATCCCCCCCCGGTGACAACAAGCAATCAAACAAGCCACTGGATGGGCTCCATCCCACTCTGGGTTCTCCAGGCCCACTGGCAAAACCAGGTCTTCAGGGTCTTGTGAAAGAGTGTCAAAGTGGGGGCCAGTCTCATTTCCATGGAGATGAGTTTCCAAAGGGAGGGGGCCACCACAGAGAAAGCCCTTCTTCTGGATCCAGCCTGATGTACTTGCTTAGAGGAGGGGACCCACAACATCCCCTCTCTCCCTGCTCTGGTGGGTCAAGTGGATGTAAGTGATTGCAAACTTGACTGAGTTCGCACATTGTTCTTAAGCCAGAATGTGCTTTGGTTTTGGCTGAGGAAGCTGTGGCAACCAGCCTATTGTAGTGTCTAAATCAGGATTGTGACTTGATATTAACCTATCCATACATCCAATCATCCCAAACCCATTTATTTATCACTTCCTCTGGGCTGAAAAATAGCAACTTATCTCAAAGTTCTTTGTGAAATCTGTGATGGAGCAGGAATTTGACTCTAGTTCTCTTTGCTCTTAGTCCAAGATTCAAACCACTATACTTGATTCTCCTCTGTAAAAATTCAGGCAGAGTGGGAGTAAGAGTTCTGGGTTTACAAAGACCGCCTAAATTCTAGCTTTCCACCTTTCATTACTTTATTCCATCTTTTTAAAAAAAAAACAAAAAAAACCCCTTAACACTGGGTCCAATTTGACGTTTCCCCTCCTTCAGATGAGGGGAGAACACAAAAAAGAGGTTTTGTGCTATTCTTTCTGTCTTAAATATCTGTTTCTCACATTTTCAGGAAAGGTTGGTTTCCATTTTCCTACACCCGACCCTTTCCCTCAGCTGAAGGAGCTAACAAACTACTTAGCAGGTAAGTCCTGGCACCTCAACTCAGTCTTGCAATTTGGAAGGAAAACTGATTGTTGTCCTCGACTTATGACTCATTACTTATCAATTGGTCAAAGTTCCAACAGACCTTCCTGAGGTTACTTATCTTGTGACCACACTGGGTACAGCCATTTGCAGTGTCTCACAGTCACATCACTGCTTTTTGCTTCCTGTTTTTGACAAAGCCTCACAGATGGTGAACCATGGGTTCGCTTATTGACCACGGATTTGCTTGACAACCACAGTAATTCGCTTAGCAACTGCCACAGAAAAGGTAATAAAATCAGGTCAGTCACATGATTGACCTTTTTCTTTCCATGTTAACAGAATAACAGAGTTGGAAGAGACCTTGGAGGTCTTCTAGTCCAACCCCCTGCTCAGGCAGGAAACCCTACACCATTTCAGACAAGTGGCTGTCCAGTCTCTTCTTAAAAACTTCCAGTGTTGGAGCATTCACAGCTTCTGGAGGCAGGTTGTTCCACTGGTTAATTGTTCTGCCAGGAAATTTCTCCTTAGTTCCAGGTTGTTTCTCTCCTTGATTAGTTTCCACCTGTTGCTTCTTATCCTGCCTTTGGGTACTTTGGAGAATAGGCTGACCCCCCTTTCCTTTGTGGCAGCAGCCCCCCCCCTCTTAAATTAAAGGAGGTACATGCCTTGACATTCAGGTTCCCCTGACAAAAAAAGTTGGATTAATGTAATATATCTGGAAGGCTTGGAGCTAGTCTTTAGACTCCTTCAGGAAGCAGTGTGTTGTCTCAAACAGGCAGGCATTGGGGGAGAAAGCCTTACCAGAAATCCTCACCTGTCCTTTATCTCTCATTAGTGGCTTCCTTTTTAGCAAGTTGAACAGTAGCAGCACAGGAAATTTGGATCGAGCTGTATCTCCAACTGCTGAACCTGATGGGGAAGATGATTTACGGTTTGGCCCTTCAGCCCGTATCAGTATGTCTCGACAACGACCTTACAGCATGCTAAATCCTGACCTGTCACAAGTGAGTTTCATGGGGGAAGGAAGGAAGGAAGGAAGGAAGGAAGGAAGGAAGGAAGGAAGGAAGGAAGGAAGGAAGGAAGGAAGAAAAGGGAAGGGAAGGGAAGGGAAGGGAAGGGAAGGGAAGGGAAGGGAAGGGAAGGAAGATGAGAGTGGAAGGAAGGGAAGGGAAAAAGGAAGAAAGAGAAAAATATGAGAAAAGGAAGGAGGGAGGGAGGGAAGAAAGGAAGGATCTGTATTTGTCCATTGCCATCTGTAGGTAGTGTCCATTGTGCAAGGACCTAGATTTTGTGCATGAACAGAGAGGATCCCTGTTGAAAATGAATGCATTTATCTTTTCTTTTCCAGTTGGCAAATGAGTTTGGAAGTCCATCTGCCTCTCCTTCAAGGTAAGAAACCTCCTGTTATCACTCATTTTCATACTTGTGGAATCTCTTGTGTGCCCTGTTCTGGCATTATCTTGTGGATCTGTGCTTTAGAACACAGAATTCACCTTATGTGATTGGGTCCTAGTTCTGTAATTCTGGTTTTATGACTCACCACCGAAGTGCAAAAATGTATTTCCTAGGCAAAAAATAGAATGTGAAACTAATACGCCAGCACTACAGATCTAAGGCCAGCTTAAAACCTTTTGTCCTGAACATGCTGGTTTTATACTGTATCTGTAGGTTGGGTTTTAGTAGTTTTTATTGTAATCAGTTAACTAATAAAAGCATTGAGAGGCTTTATAATGAGACAAAATTATGCTTGTGCCAAAGTACCCAGAATACATAATCCAGTTTTTTGTAATAGAGGTAGTCCTTGTCATATGACCACAAGTGGGACCTGAATTTCTAATGTTAAGCAAGGCAGTTGTTGAATTGCTCCCAGTTTTACAACCTCTTTTGCCACGGTTGTTAAGCAAATCACTACAATGATTACATGAATCAGGCAATCATTCACGTGACGGCCATTCAGGCAGCCATTAAGCAAGTGTGGCTTCCCCCATTGATTTTGCTTGTGGGAGCTGGCCAGGAAGTTCATAAACGGCAGTCACACAATCCTAGAATGCTGTTCCATCGTAAATGCATGCCGGTTGCCAAGAGCCCAAATTTAGACCATGTGATTGTAGAGATACAGCAGTGGTCATAAGTGCAAGTACTTGCTTCAATGCTTTTGTAACTTTGAACAGTTGTTAAACAAACAGAACAAATAAACAAGTAGAAATAGCACTTATATACTGCTTCACAGTGCTTTGCAGCACTCTAAGCGGTATATTTACAGAGTATATTCCCCCCCCCAACAATCTGGGTCCTCACTTTACGACTGCAGAAGGATGGAAGGCTGAGTCAACCTTGAGCTGGTCAGGATTGAACTACTAGCAGTTGGCAGTCAGAAGAATTAGCCTGCAATACTGCATTCTAACCGCTGTGGTACCATGCAGTGGTTAGTCTATAAAGCAAAGGATTTTTCAGGAAAAAAAATGACTTGTGGACTTCAACTCCCAGAATTCCTGATCCAGCCATGCTGGATCAGGAATTCTGGGAGTTGAAGTCTATAAGTCATAAGGGGGCCATTATTCCCCGCCTCTGGAACTTTAGACATTAACCAGAGGCCTTATGATTCCTCTGGGCCAGTGGTTCTCAAATTTTTCTTCACACGGACCCCCTTTAAATACCTTTTGTGGCCAGGGACCCCCAAGATTTAACTCAAGATTTAAATCATAACATTTCTTCAAGCTTCCATGGACCCCCTGTGACAACATTGCAGCCCCCCAGGGGTCTGTGGGCCACAGGTTGAGAACCACTGATCTAGGCCAGTTTTACTGGTCTTTTGACCATCAAGCTGTTTAGTGCTTTACGTTTAAAACATTTATTTTTTTAAAAAAAATCTATGCTATGCAACAATTTCTAACGCTGGTGAATTGAAGAGAAAGCCAAATAAACAAACAAATAAAATGTGGGAAGCTTTACAGAAATCCCTTCGTCTGATATGAAAGAGGCTATTCTGCCCCATCCTCTGGCCTTTTGTTAATGATTTTGTTGCATTAATCTGTGTCTGCAGCAGCCTTTCCAAGACACATTGTCAGCTTCCAACACCTGCTGATTAGAAATGATGGGGGGTGGGGGTGGAATTTAATCCATCTGGAAGACATTAGGTTGGGGAAGGTTGACCTTAAGGACAGCAGTATTATCTTTTCAGCTTCAGAAAGCTCTCTGAAACCTGGGCCTACCCATCTCACTCTTCCTCTCTCCTTTCCCCTTGCAGGATCAATCCTTTTGCTCATGTTAAGCTGAAACGTACGGTGACCAATGACCGCTCAGCCCCACTCATCCAGTGAAACGTGCAATGTTAAATGGAGAGAGCCCACTGCCCTGCTTTTCTTCCTTCTTTCCCTCATCACGTGGCCTTTCCCACCTCATACGCTGCTTCTGGCTCATAGTAGGTTTCGCATGCCAGGCTGGCCCAGGCATGCCACTCTCCCTAATGGTATAGGAAAGGTCCACAGTCTCGACGCACAGCAAAAAAGGCTTCAGGGTTTCATTGGTATTAGCAGTTCCAGGATGGGAAGGCAAGCTAGCGGCAGGAGGACAGTAACAGCCGGAGAGGAGACAAGGGTTTGGATGCAAGTGATGGAGGCAGATGTGTAACAGTTGGATAAACAGGCAGGAGAAGGGTGAAGGATGTGGGACAGGTGGAAAGAGGTCAGATGAAAGGAAAAGGGGATCGGAAGAGAGCTGTGGATGGCATGTTACAGAACATTCAGATGAAGAGAAATTCAGCGCATGTGGGCCTCTGAAGGTGATTCGTGTTCCTTACAACTCAAAAGTTTCCACTGATCAGACTCTGTTTCCGTTTTGTTACCCACTTTGACTAAAAGGCCACTGATTGGGTGGTATGTGCTCAGGAAGAAGGTAAAGTAGTCCTCGACTTACAATGATAATCGAGCCCAACACTTTTGTGGCTAAGTGAAACATTTCTTAAGTCAATTTTGCCCCATTTTACAACTTTTCATGCCATATCTCTGAAGTGAATCACTGCAGTTCTTAACTTAGTAACCTGGTTATTAAATGAATCTGGTTTTCCCATTAACTTTGCTTGTAATAAGATCACAAAAGGTGACCCCGGGGCACTGCAACTGAGTCAGTTGCCAAACATCCAAACTTTGATCACGTGACTATGGGGATGCTACAATGGTCATAAGTTTGAAAAATTGTCATAAGTTGTTTTTTTAGTACCATTGTAACTTCGAATGGTCACTAAACAAACTATTGTAAGTCGAGGACTGCCTGTATTTTGAAACCAGAATGAAGCTGTGTTTAAATGGACAACCTAAGGCAGGGGTAGGCAACCTTGGCTCTTTTATGACTCGTGGACTTCAACTCCCAGAATTCCTGAGCCAGCATGGCTCAGCATGGAAACCTCTCCCTTTCTCCTCAGCATGGCTGGCTCAGGAATTCTGGGAGTTGAAGTCCACGAGTCATAAAAGAGCCAAGGTTGCCTACCCCTGACCTAAGGTTTTGTTTTGTTCTTTCATTCATCTGGTCTTAAGTGTATCTGTCTTTAGAGTCAGTTCTGCTCAGCCAGTTGAATAATTGAATGACTGCAGTTATCATCTATCACCTGGGTCATATGAAATTTCCATTCCGCAATAAACTTCTACACTTAACATTACATAAGTCATAAATAAACATGTTGCATGTGGATTTCCGATAGAGAGTCCACACTAATCTTTTTAATGGTGTAGTACTAAGAGATGTTGATTTGAGAACAGGGAAAACTGGTTTAGGAGAGTAAGAGAGAAGTGTACAAAGAATTGTTAAATCTAGGAAAATCAAATTCAAATTTGATTCAAATTCAAACTTCTAATCTACACTGTCTGATATTTCATCATTGAGTTATTCAGCTACAGGTCCAGCTTACTTGGAAAATCACTTGGAAGTGATTATGAATTGGTTATATTGAAAAGCATCAGATCTGAATAAGTATGAAAAGTCTTACTGTGGTGTTAGTTTTGTACTGGCCTCTTAAGGCATGGAAATCACCCATTTCTATTATACAATTATCATATGTGAAGCAGCTCTGGGGAGATGAGTGAACAGTTCCATTGAAGAAGTAAAATAGCGTTTCTCAACCTTAGCAACTCTTAAGACGTGTGGACTTCAATTCCTAGAATTTGCTGGCCAGCAAGTCTGGCTGGGGAATTCTGGGAGTTGAAGTCCACATGTCTTAAAAGTTGCTAAGATTGAGAAACACTGAAGTAGAAGATTGCAAGTTTTACAAAAACACTATTGATAATTGATGTGCTGTCTCTACATTCATTGCACAATTGTAGGCATAACTTAAGTGTCTTAACAAGGCATGGATTGTGGATTTAAAAGGAGCCAGGATTTATGATTAAATGGGTTCTCTGAATCTGAAGTGGGTCTGTGGTCCACGAAGTGATCCATGCTGCTAGTAGGTTTTGATTCCTCTTCAAACAATTGTTGAGATATTTTCATGGGGGAAAAGCATATCTATATTATGAAAATGTTACCATTAAACATAGGCCACATATTTTGTAATTTATATTGTTTTCTGTAGATTTAACCAGAGGTTTACCTTACTATGATATGCAATGGTCTAAAACAGGGGTCTTCAAACTTGGCCCTTTTATGACTTGTGGACTTCAACTCCCAGAATTCCTCAGCCAGGCACGCTGGCTGAGGAATTCTGGGAATTGAAGTCCACAAGTCATAAAAGGGCCAAGTTTGAAGACCCCTGGTCTAAAAAAATGTAGAGATTTCCCCCTGCTCCCCAGGAAACATGGGATAAGAAGAGAAATGCCAGAAGTCAGGACTTCTGTGCATGGAAGAAAGAAGTAGATTAAAGCAAGGCAGTTGCTGATTTTTTTTTTTTTAATAAAAAATGTGTTTATTTAATTTCAATTGCCAGAATGTATAATAAAGACAGTTATTCAGTAGTATTCTTGTCCTGGCAGGCCAAACTGCAGGCATTTTGGTCAAAGCCAAAATAGAGTAATTCAGCTATATTGTCTGAAGAAAGAAATATTTTTCTCAGTGAGGAAAGGAAATGCCATCTCACTTTTCTTTTGCCCCTCACATTCCTCTCCGACTGACAAAGAACCCAGTCATTTAAAAATGCAAGTATGCCCCCTTGCAGGCTTAGCTATGCTATTACAGAATCCTGGACAGATTTGAGTAACACGCTTACTGATCCTGTTTTAATCTTGAATGCGGTTGCATAAATGAGCAACATCGGTCTTCTAAATAAATGCACAAGCTGTCCACCTTTGGTGAAACTCACAACTATATAGTAAAACTTTGGCTTTGGAGCAATTGCCATTTGTTAAAAAAAAAAACAAGGGCTGAAAAATATCAGAACACTTTAGTTATCGGAAAGAAAACAAGATTGACATTTTACCAATGAAAGAATACTCAAAGCTGCTTTTTTTTTTTTTTTTCAAAAGGCAACTGGATTGTTTTTTCCTTGAAGAAAAATAGGACTTTTTCTTGAGGAAAAAGTAAAACATTTCCTTCTTTTTCCTCAGGAAAAGACAATCCAGTTGCCTTTTGAAAAAGCACCTTTGAGAAAAGTATGACCTGGATTGACTGAGAATCTCCACAGACATAATGAAAGAATAATTTCGGGTTTTGGAGGCACAAGGCTCATAGAGTTTTTAACAAAGCCATCTTCCACTTGTAGTTCACTTGAGTTTCATTATTTTTTTCTAATTTGTAAAACAAAATAAAACTAAGATGGCAAGGCAGACTAACTAGATGGCTTGTTTTGAATTGCTAATTGCTAAATCCCTATAAGTTCAGAATTGAACCATTCGGTTTTCTTCTGTGATTCTGTTTACGAACATTTGCTTTACTTTGTAGTACAGGTAGTCCTCAATTTATGAACACAATTGAGCCCAAAATTTCTGTTGTTGAGACATTTGTTAAGCGAGTTTTGCCCCATTTTACCTTTTCCAGCTAGCAGTACTTGACAATGTTCAAACTTAGCTATAATAGAAATGAGAGATATATTGAAAGAACAGGTCAGCACATATGTTAGACCCATAGAAAGAAATGGTTGGTGACTTGAATCCCTACTCTGTATTTTCAAAATCCAACATTTACTGTAAGTTGCAAAAGGTGTGGACATTGCATAGATTTGTTCACAGTTCAATACAAAGAAAAGGGGGGGGTTTACTTAGAGCCTCCATTTAGGTTTGCAGTATAATGTCTGTAACTGGAAACCCCTTATTTCCTCTGCTCAAAATGTATGTGTTCAAGAGGCAAAAACAGGCACATATTTATGGGTAGGATATACGCACTGGTTCCCATTTGGCATGTTGTTTCAAAAGCATGAAATACGAATCTATTTTGCCTATTTTTATTACCGATCAGATCAAACTATTTTCTGAAATAGTTTTATTACTGAATTTTGAATTTTGGAAAGTCAAATACTGTATGAAATGTCAAGAGGGGGAAATGTTGAAGATCAGTTTAGAAATAGATTTGCAGATTAAGCACAGTAGCACAGAATTCTCTGCATAACAATATGGTTGCCAAATGTGTGTGTGTGTGTGTGTGTGTGTGTGTGATTCTTTATACAGATACACACAAACACATATCCTGGATCTCTCAAGCTGGGAACTTGTGTCTTATTAACAGCTCATTTTATCTTACATAGGGCTAAAAAGTATACAATTATCTTTACATTTCCTTCCTGTTGTTAGAAATAACTCGAGTCATCTCATGATTGTTGCCCTGTGTGTGCATATTTGTGTATGCATATGTATGTGTGTTTCAGCTGAAATACATCTGGAAAATTTTGAATCTCCTTCATTTGAAAGCCTGAAGAATGAATTCAAGTCACAGAATGTTCGTATCTAAGATCAGAGATTACAGATCCTGAAACTGATGTGTGAAAATTGGGGTGATGGAAAATTTTGACACTGAGACACTCTGCTTTGAGGGTACAGAGGAGATTATAAACATACCAAAACAAAATCAAAATGGCTTTCACATTTTTCATAAAAAGAGGCAGCTTGTATGGGATTCATTCAAAAGAACAAAAAAGAGTGAATACAGGAGAGCACTTATCATATGTGAAGTTGCCATACTGTATTTTTGACAGCATTGTAAGCTGATTGTAAAGAAATTTTATCATCCTGCACCATATTAGAAAGTTGGAAAATAATGGAATAACTATATATTTATCTTCTCCGTTGGGCCATGTAAGATAACTGGTTTATCAAGTGATTACATATATGCCATGGTTTCTTACCCATTGGTAAATAATTTTTATGTTTTACTAAAAAAAATTTAAAAAGCCTGTGCAACTCTACACTTTAGATGTTTGGTGTAGCTTGGACATAATATATAAAGA